GTGAATTGAATTCTTTCTCATGTAAAACGATTGTATTGTTCCTGTTATCTAATATGGCTGCCGTCACGCGATGGTGTAAAACCTYTATTCAGGGGTGAGGGTAATAGCTTGCGCCCTTGGAAGGAATGTAAATAAAAAATACATGCATGRCTGTATTAGGTTTTCCGATTTCGTACATTACCGCTGTGTTCCTTGATTGCAAACTCATTTACTCAGGGTTAGCCTCGTATCAGTGTTTAAATATTCACAAATACCAAYGGTAAAGTAAAGAATGCACAACTTCAACAATACAAACACTGATATTCCACGGACCTTCACTGGAACACGTGAATATTCTGCACAAAATTGATGCTAAACCTGAGCAACAGAGAAATCAAAGCGTTTGTACTCATTGGATATTGGTAGTCATTGTAATTTCATTTTTTATCACAGTACTAAGAACAGGATTCTCGTTCCCTCTGCAGGGCCAAAGAAACCGATCTGCAAAAGTAAGACGGTTCGCGTRGCGCAGTACATCAATCAGTCTGTGTTCTACTTTATGTTGTCGTTATGTCTCGTTGGAATCATCATGGCTGTGRTATTCCTTATCTTCAACATCAAGTACAGAGATGTCAGGTACTTTGGATTCTTAATTCAATATCAGAGAGCTTCGAACATTATCAAACCTTTGGGCTGGTCTAAGTCAGGGCATGGCTAACTCACAGATCGAACCCTGAAACAACCTCTGGGCCGATCTAAGTCAGGGCACGCCTAACTCACAGATCAAACCCTAAAACAACCCCTGGGCTGATCTAAGTCAGGGCACGGCTAACTCACAGATCGAACCCTGCAACAACCTCTGGGCTGATCTAAGTCAGGGCATGGCAAACTCACAGATCGAACCCTGCAACAACCTCAGTGGGCTGACTTACGACTTACTTAAAGATATAAATGGAATTTAACGTGATAAGGTTTTGCGGAGGGAGGAGAAGCGGAGAACCCAGAGAAAAACCCTCGAATCTAGAGAGAGGCTCTATCAACCAAGCTAACTCGCGATGCTTCGTCCAGGACTGAGAAACCATGATTATATAATAATGATAATAATACGAAAATAACAGACGACGCATCGTAAACTGAGGTCCTCAAATTAACATGATAATAATGTTGTTATTGTTCTTTCACAGGTACATCAAGATGTCAAGTCCCCGCTTAAACAACATCATCCTATCAGGCTGTATACTGATTTACATATCTGGCATCTTGGCTGGTATTGATGGACAGTTTGTGACTGAATACATCCACGGTAACCTGTGTCAGGTGGGATACCTTCGTTATAGACATACCTACACTCACTTTGAACACAAACACCACAACGRTTTACACCAGCAATTGTATCAGTAACAGCCACGATAACAGCAGCTAAAGCATTAGCACCAACAGCACGTAACAACAACAACAAAAACAGCGCAAGAGAAACAGCAACAACCGCACGTGACAACAGCAGCAGCAGCAGCAAAAGCAACAGCAGCAGCAACAACTGCAGCAGCAATAAAAGCAGCAAAAGCAAAAACAAATGCCGCAGCAAAAGCATAAGCAACAGCAGAAACAGCAGCAGTAACAGCAACAGCAGCAACTAACAACAACAACAGCAAAAGCAACAGCAACAGCAGCATAATGGTAGTTCCCATCCCCTGTTGCAGCAGATTGGGTGCCTAGGATCATTTCCAATATGAGCAGCATCATTCAACAACAATAGTAGCAACAATTCAATAGTAGCAACAGCAAAAAAACAACAACAACCCGGTACAACAACAACCATCAACAGCAACATGAACTATAATAACAACGGCAGTAACAAAAATAAAAACATCAGCAGCAATCTTACGTACTTCTTTCCTCAACAGATCCAGGCCTGGTTCGTGTCTACAGGTTTTACCTTGGCATTTGGTGCGCTGTTCTCCAAGACGTGGAGAGTACACGTTATCTTCTTGAATAAGACTGAGAAAAAAGTACGATTACAAAAAA